TTTTTTATTTTCTGAACCTCTTTATTCATTTTATCCCTTTTAAATATATATATATATATATATATATTGGTTTTTATGTTTTTAATTGTCATGTGTAATAAAATTATTGTAAGAAAGAAAAACAGCTGCTGTTTCTGGGCAGGGATAATCACAGGTTGAAACCATGATTAGGTGTTGATTTTAAAATGAAGTTAGCCTATATTTGAATGGCATGCTGAAAGCAGAAGTGATTAGTGAGAGCTGCTGTGAAAGGAATGCCCAAAGCCACCAAGCCACTCAGTAAATAGCTGTGAATTCAGAATGACTAGAAGAAGAAGAAGCCTAGAGTTTAAACCCTGGGGAATAATTGCACAAATCTCTGGTTTCTTTGCACTGCTGTGTATAAGCAGTGCTATAAGCAGAGGCTTATAAGCAGAGGCTTCATTTTTGTATGTGATAAAAATTCTAAAACATATGAAGGAGGCTAAAACATAGGAAGAACAGTTGCAGGAACTGGGTATGTCTAGTTTAAAGAAGTACAAGTGGTGACATGATAGCAATGTTCCAATATCTCAGGGGTTGCCACAAAGAAGAGGAGTCAAACTATTCTCCAAGGCACCTGAGGGTAGAACAAGAAGCAATGGGTGAAAATGAATCAAGGAGAGAAGAAACTTAGAACTAAGGAGAAATTTCCTGACAGTTATAACAATTAATCAGTGGAACAACTTGCCTCCAGAAGTTGTGAATGCTCCAATACTGGACGTTTTAAAGAAGATGTTGGATATCCATTTGTCTGAAGTGGTGTAGGGCTTCCTGCCTAAACAGGGGGTTGGACTAGAGGACCTTCAAGGTCCCTTCTAAGTTCCAACTCTGTTATTCTAATCTTGGCAAGGTGCCTCTGGGAGTCTTCTGCTTCCTATGGGTGATAGCTAAACTTTTAAGTTCCTTTGATATCTGTAAATTATTGCCAACCCTCTGCAGTCCATAATTAACCATAGAAGAGGCATAAATAGCAGATAAATAGTACTAAATAGGGCTTCTGAGATTATCAGAAGAATTATTTTTTTCAGAGAAACACATTCATTCTTCTTGATAATCTGTAACTAAGACTTTTATAATGGAAATCTATATCTAAGCACACAATCATCCCTTTAAATTAATGGACTATAATATAAATATTGGTTTTATATTCACACCCCTTTGCCTGCTTCCTGCTAGAGAGATTTCTATTTGCTGTTTACTGTGGCATTGCAACCAATTACTCAAACTTTCTTCATTTTTAGCTTTTCTTCTTCTTTCTCATCTACTCCATTGATTTTGCTTTTCTTACTTGCAAATTGATGTCCAAGGAAGGGACCAAAATTCTCTATCTCTATTCTACTAAAAGCTACACCTGCATTTTCATCATAAAATGCCACCAATTTTTAATGTTCACTTGGATTCTGTCTGGCCATGTGTGGAGTTTTCACCCTCCCCTTTGTTTCTGTGGAAATGTCAATACTTTTCTCACCTTTCAGACCTATATTGAGCAATATAGTAATAGGTAAATAGTATTGTTTACTATTATTGATCAATTACATTTCTTAATTACTTCCTCTTTGTAGAACATGCCTACATGTTCTACAAGAGTGCAGAAATGAATTTAATCTCAGTTGTAAAATGAAAAAAGGTTTGGCAACACAATCTGATAAAATTGTCTCTAGTCAGAGCAAGCTCAAAATTCTAGCAGTCTCAAACTAATGACTTAGTTCATTGGTTCCCAGGAAATGCTTGCCTGCAAACAAGCCATGATTTTTCAAATTTCATGAATAGTTGCTGTGTCAACTATTTGAAGTATTGTAGGAAAATTAATAACTCAGCTAACTTCCTAGGGATTTCTGCCACTCACAGATGGTAATTTCAGGACATATGATTTGAAGATATCTGCAATCAACTCTAGTCATGCTATATGACTACATGTGATATGATAGCTATTTTTTTGTGGCACTTGGTAAAAAGTATTTGAAAGAAACACTTCTAGTCTCCTGCTAAAGCAACATATTTTATCTTGACTTGTAGTAGAAAAAAGAGGGAAAGAAAATGTATTTCAAAAAGGAAATAATGATACTTCCACTATTTCTTATTCTAGGTCCTATTTCAGCCCTATACATTTTAAACATGTGATGTCATTATAAAGCAATTTATCTTCTGGGAAATCAGTCGTCGGTAGAAAATGAACTTCCGTCAGCTTTTTTTTAAGGCTCTGCTATCAGTATAGTGCTTCTGATTTGGTAATAAGCCTAATGAGATGGGACAATAATGTGTGACAAGATTCTCTAAAATACAACTTCATCACAGTATCGATTGTATTTTTCTGTACTGTTTAGTCACAGGAAGTTGACAGCACTTGAATGATTAAAATAGAAAGAAGAGCTTTTAATTCACTCATTAAAAAGTCCAATATCTACTAATTTGGCAGAATCATGGACTTTCTACCTCATTTTAACACAATAGCTTCATTTCCATGTTTTTGCGGTGATAGATCAGGAAAGTGGGAACAATACAGCCAGTTTGGATTGGTAGCTAAGACACCAACGTAGATGCCAGGTGATTGTGTATTTGAGTCCTGTTTTAGGCATGAAAGGTAACTTTGGGTCAATCTCTCAGCCCAACTCACCCACAGAGTTGTTGTGTGTAAAATAAGAGGAGGAAGGATTGTTAGACATGTTCACCTCTTTGAATTACTTAGAAAAATAAAAAACTTGGGATAAAAAAAAATCTTAAAAAATGGTTTGTAATTGGAAAGGGAAAAGTTCAGGACCCTGGATAGTACCCCTGGCTTTAGAGATTTTTGAATGACGTTTATGAAGAATTATGACAGATGTTCCTGCAGGAATCCCAAGGAACTGTAAAGAAAGAAACAAATAATCCCAATACTACTCTGAAGCAATATGTAGGTTTTTATATTTTGAGCAGAATAATCCTTCCCAAAACCACAAAATGGAATTTGCATCTTTAAAGCCAGCATTTATGTTTTCTGCAGCTGTCCTACGACCTCCCAACCCCAAAATGTTTTTATTTTGAATTCCATTTATTTCAGCTAATAACTTCATAGAATTCTCATCTTGATATTCCCTTAGATTTCCTGGCATTTTTAGTCTGAAGCCATAACAAAACTCAGATCGGCTTTTATCTGAGTACTGAAAAGTCCTCAAAATGTTCTGACAGAACCATTAGTAAGCAGCTGAAAGAAGGTCACCTTGACATAATGCTATTTCCATATTGCCACGTTGGGGAGACATAACATTTTTATTAGTCTAATTTTATAAAGAGTCACTCTTTTGGCATTTATATGAGTAAAGATTTGGGGGAGGGGTATTTGCAGGGCTATAATAAATCATGAAAAGTTGAGGAATGACCATAAGAATTTCATCAGCTTCATAACACAATTGTATTATTGATTTACTCTGATAAAATGTGAGTTTATATCTTTGGCCAAAATGCACCAATATTTCTTTACCAAACCACATTGGTTATAATGTATTTGACTGATGTGCCTATTTATGGATAACGGTGGTTTAATCAATACCCCAACTGCCTATATTGAACCATAAACCTGAATATATGAGTGGAGTTCACACATTATTTTATTATTTTTACAATAATTTTATTGATGTTTGCAAACACAAAGATAAAAGACTAATACAAAGTAAGGAAAATATATATATAAAGAAATAAATGCAAAGTGATTGAAAAAAAAAGATGATTCCCCTCTCCCTCTAGGCAAGTATAAATAATTTCAGTAATTTAACATCTTCTCTAGTATTTCAATTTAAATCCCTCTTTTTTCAATATCTAATCCGTTATTAAAGAAATAAAAATACATAATTCAATTTTAATCAGCAAAAGTCTATTAAGAGCTATCAGAAATTTTAACACGCCTATTTTAACCTTAATAAAAAAAATCATTTTGTAATCCAATATTGTTCTCTAAGAAACAAAGTGAAAAATCTTTCCACTTATAAACAGATCCTTACAGCTGCATCATTCAATCCTGGTCAAAAATAAATTTCATTAATAACTAATAACAGAAACCTCAACTTACGTATTTTAACTCTGATCAATTTGATTCACTTTGTAGATGTTCTGTTTACCTTTAAAAAGCTTGATCCTTATTCACATTAATGTCCCACTGATTGACCTCTTATCATTTTCTCTTAATCTGCTCTCAGAAACAGTTTCCTTTGTTTCATACTTTCCTTTTAGAAATCTGAGATAAGAAGGTCTTCCACATTATTATTATTATTTATTTATTATTTGTATGTATCTTTAATTATTAAGACATCAGCTGGGTTCATTTGTAAATCATTTTGTTATCTTTTTCCATATCAGTCTGGCATTTTGAAGTCCATTTTCACATCCATACCATCTTTCTCCATATCATTTTTGTAATCCAACATCTTTTTAGAACACCAATCCTACACTCAAATTTGAATCTCTGTTTTATACAATAAAATTTGTTGTTGTTATATATTCTTTTCTATAGTCGTTCCCCTCCAAGATAAACATCCTGAAACCACACATGGCTAAATTGTTTCCCAAAACAATAAGACTTTGCTGTTTTCAGACCAACAGTAGAAGTAAATGATTTACTGCTTACTATTGGTTGCATTGAGGACTTATATTTGGTTGTTTTAACATTTATTATTTAGTCTTGGACTGCAATTCAATATTGATTGGTTGGTTTTTAGTTTGTAGTTTAGTGTGATGTGCAGCCTCTGACAATATGATTTAGTATGCCATAGGAACCAAATTATTGTTTTACTTGAGATACGCTTTATGACAACCTTTTCAAATCTGATACTTTTCAGACATGCTGTCTCTAATTCTTATTATATTACATAGTCCAGTTACTTTAGGATAATGGCAGCATGATGATTTTCTGACATAGGTACTGGAATATGCTGGGGGAAGAAATAAATTGATACACAAAAATATATGAAAATGTCCATTATGCATTTTGGAAATAGCACAACTATTGGAACTAGAATTGTAAAGATGAGAATAAATATGAAATAACAGAATAACAGTACAAAAGAAAAATAAAATTAAAAATGTCAGAGATATAATGACTAAAATTTCTTGTTACACATAATACTAACATACAAGATGAGTTAGAATAAGTTCCAACACAGATATTTTATTTTCTTCTGTTTTCTACTGACAATTATTTGAAGTATAGGGGAAGTATAAGAGATTTATTTATGAAGCATAAAATTCTATACGAGAAAGATCAGATCCCAAACTAAAGGATAATGGTGAAAACTAAAATACGAAAGAAAAATATTACAACTTTTCTGTATGCATAGTTTACTACATATGGGCCAAGTGCTCTCAAATATGACATTAAACAGAAGGTACAAACATCTTTGGTAGTTCATAAAAAGACATTTCAGTTAGTATAGAGTAATTATAGAACATTAATTTCTAACAGAAATGCTTTCCTGTAGAATAGAAATAATACAAGATGGCACACAATAGATGTAGTCAATGAACAGAAGCTGCTTGAGACCGACAGATGAGTAAACTCTCCTTTTGTGAAAAATTCCTTTGAGGTGAATTGAAAATACTGGATGCCAATTATAATGTCTGATTTCAAATTGGCACTTTTCATTTCTATTAGAAATGTTGATTCATACTTGATTTTGCACACACTTTTTCATCTCTAACAATTTCATTAGATCAATTTTTTAATCTGTATGACTTGCTGCATGTTTTAAATTTTAATTCTTGAGCTCTTATTTCTTTGAAATGAAAACTGAGTTAGCTGCACATATTTCAAATATATTTCAAAGTAGGAACTGACAATACTTCTGAACAAACACTATTCAAGACACTTTTATAAATAGGAAATAAACAGGTTCTGTTATGGATTGCTGCAGGTGTTCTGTTTCACATTCTTTTTGTATTGCTGTGATGAAAAATGATAATCTAATGAAAATAATGTTACTGAATAAAGCTCTTACTACGTTCTGTTTGCTGGTAACTTGTGTATGTTTCTGCCTTAAAATACACTTATAAAAACCAACCTTTTAAATATGTGTATTCTTTGCATCTTTTGGAAAAAAAGACAAGATGAATTATTTGCATAAATCAAGATTTAAAGTATGTTTAGTACATTATATCCATCGCTCCATTTGGTGCCTCAGAATTTTTTGATTTTGAAAAAGGAAACGCAAATCCAGCCAGGCGTATAAGCAAAATGTTCATAAAGTGTACCAATGAGCACACCAGGATGATCCAGAAGGACTTTGCAAACTGCTCACTGTGCGTTTTAAAAATAAAACTTCCTTCTTTATAATTAGCTATTTTCTCAGAGAGGTGGTGGATTTTCACTTCTGAAGAAAACAGTATCAAAATAAGAAAGCCACAAGTAACTGAAAAAGAAAGAAATGCAAAATTAATATTTGGTCAATTTTTCAACCTAATTCTACAACATTTGTTGTTATACTTCAATATTTATAAATTAGCTCTTCTGTCTATTTTCTTCCCTAAGAGGTTGGGTCCCAGTTGAATCCAATAATTAATAAGAACAGATAATTATATCTCGATTTTGCTCCATTTCTTCTCCACCTTTTCTCTAAATATATCTGTTTGAAATCCACACTCCACTGAGTTTCACCTGGTTTGTATAGCCCATCAGCTTCAGCTGACAGATCCCCTTTCTTGCTCTATTTGTTACTTGCTTGGATTAAAATGAGTGTTCCAATTCATGTATCAAAGGGTAAACATGCTAACTCTAGCTTTTTTTTAAATAAATTAAACAAAGCTCCCCCAAATCTGTTTGTGCATGAAAAATAAAACTTATTAATCTGTTTGAATAGTAATGTTTGTTGAACTATTTCTTTCCCACTGCTTGTAAAGCAAGTGTACTTGCTGAGCTAATTCCATTCCCTGTTGCTTGAGACAGTCATAAATAGCTTTTTCTACTAAGAGCAAAAACTAGGGGTCTAATGTGCTATGCATGCCAGATCTCTGTTCAAAGATTCTTCAGAAAGGAAGTTTTCTCCCTGTAGATGATGCTTCCAGCTTCCCACAGTACAACTTGAACAAAAAGATTGAATAGTCCTGTCCCAGTGTCTGGAATCTAGAAGGGTCTGGATTGCAATGGATTTTGATTGAACCCAAGCAAGAATGAGTGCTTTGGGTATTTGGTCCTTACATTAATAAGGTTTTCCCCACTGTTGCTCCTGGCTGGGGTGATTCTGCCCCAGATAGACCCAGTGGGCAGTCTATAGTCAATAAGTGAAGACTCACATTCCCAGTACCAATTCTTTCCTTGGATTGATCCCTGGCCGTATACATATGTTCCCAAGGATTTACATGCACATGAGAATGAAGGATTTATTCAGACCATGGTAAGGTATATTGTGGATGATTGTTGTGCAAGTGGAAAGCCTTCTAATTTCCATGCAGAATGTGAAAGAATCATTAATCAATATCTCCTAAAGTAGGTGCTAGAAAGTTTAAGTAATGAAAATGGTTTTATTTAAGGATACAGTTTGGAAGTTATATAACTCAGAGCTGTTTTAAACCAAGATTTATTTTAAATTCAAGTTGGATTTTGCTTGTTAGTTTGTAGTTCAGCGTCTTGTCTACTTTTGTACTTTGCCAATTTTATGTAAGCTATTTTGTTCATTTTGTAAAACTGTTGGGTATAAAATTACATTTTAATCTCTAGCACATGTAACAATGTAGTGTTCTTTTAATAGCTATTTTAAATGTTTATAGCATCTCAAACTCCCAACTTCCAGAAGGGTTATAGTGGGTTAACTGTTCAGGACTAGTCACTTTTAGACTGTTGCTAATATCTCACAATCCAAGCATAGTTCTATGCTGAAGGTCTAGCCACTATGTGGACCCATTACCCGTATTTAAAAAAATAGAAGGAAGGGAAAGGGAAGGATGATAGCTCACACTAGATGAAGATGTTGAGGCTGTAACAATCACAACTGGAGCAATTCTTTTAACAACTGTCAAAATATCAAGTAAGATTGCATATGATGATGACAACATATTGAGTAGAAAACATCAGTTTAAAAAGAAAACATATCTTTGTTTTTTTCAATGTAAAATAAAATGAATAACCAGCAAAAAATGCTTGGGAACATGCTTTGAATAACTGACCACCTCATCTTACACAAGAATCTGGTAAAGGCATTTATATCTACATGCCAAAGTATTACTGATCTTACCTGAAACGAAGCTCCACAGGTAGAGTCCTAATGGACCATGTAAGGTTTCATAAGGAGTGCCAAATGCATTGTACATGAAGAAGCCAGTGGCAATCAGTGCAAAGACGAACAATGCCAAGCAAAAGAGGATGACACTTACATGGATACTTGCAGGCATAATTTTGAATAATTCTGGAAAAACTAACAGAATGGGAAACTATTGATTATTTATAAAATCTGAAAAAATAATGCAGAACAATAGTCATTTATTTATCTATGACATTTCATGTTGCCCCATCAATCATTGTGACTGGAACATGGAATTACTATCAACGTGGAAGGAATCTTGATAAGCAAGGCAAGATGTTTTTGTAACTTATTTATGATTGAGGATTGAAATTAAATAGAAGTATATATAAAATAGGCAACTATATGAAGATAGTAAAACTGATATAACAGAGGACATATTGTCACTGTTTATGTTTTAATACATATCCATTTTCTGAGAAAGGTTTGCAATTTAAATGTAGTTTGGTATCATTTAAGTTCCTTTTGTTTTATTACTGGAACAAAGCTCATATATTCAAACCTGACTGAGATACATCAATCTGCCAATCAGTGTTCCAATGTGTTTCCTACATTTCCTAACATGGTATCTTCCAGAAGGACTAGACTTCAGTCCAAAAATTTCTAGCCAGCAGCACAGTCATATATGGACAATATTACCCTATAGAGCCAAGGTGGCGCAGTGGTTAAATGCAGCACTGCAGGCTACTGCTAGATCAGCAGGTCAGCGGTTCAAATCTCACCGGCTCAGGGTTGACTCAGCCTTCCATCCTTCCGAGGTGGGTAAAATGAGGACCCAGATTGTTGGGGGCAATATGCTGACTCTCTGTAAACCGCTTAGAGAGGCCTGAAAGGCCTATGAAGCGGTATATAAGTCTACTGCTATTGCTATTATTTCCCTGAAAATAAGACCTCCCCAGATAAGAAGCCCAATTGGGTTTTTAAGTGCATGTGCTAAAATAAGCTCTCCCCTGAAAATAATCCTCCCTGAAAATATTGCAACAAAACAGCAGCCATGAGGTGACCATGCTCGCTGCCTCCTGCATCTCAAAAATAATAAGACCTTCCCGAAAATAAGGCCAAGTGCTTATTTCGGGGGTCAAAAGAAAATAAGACCCTGTCTTATTTTTGGGGAAACACGGTATTTATTTGCTTCAGGTTATTCTCCATTATTTAATATACAGGTATGCCTCAAATTTCAACAGTTCATTAAGTTCATTAAGTGAACAATGGCACTGAAAAAAGTGATTCATGACCATTTTCCCATACTTACGACCATTGTAGCATCTCCATGGTAACATGTTCCAAATTCAGATCCTTGGCAACTGACTCATATTTATGATGATTACAGTGTCCCGGGGATGTGCGATCATCTTTTGCAAACTTCTGATAAGCAAAGTCAATGGGGAATCCAAATTCACTTATGAACCTGGTTTCTAACTTCACAACTGCGGTAATTCACTTAACATCTGTGGCAAGCAAGGTTGTAAAATGGAGCAAAACTCACTTAACATGCATAACATGCTTTCTTGGCAGAGTTGTTAAGTGAATCACTGCAGTGGTTAAGTTAGTAACATGGTTATTAAGGCTTCTTCATTGATTTTGCTTTTGAGAAGGTTGCAAAAGATGTTCACATGACCCAGGATACTGCAACTGTCATAAATACATGCCAGTTGCCAAGCATTTGAATTTTGATCACATGACCACAGGGATGCTGCAATTGTCCTAAGTGCAATAAAACAGCGATAAATCACTTTTTACAACTTTGCCTGTATAACTTTGAATAATTGCTCATTGAATGCTTTTAAGAGGACTACCTGTACAGTTTAATTTCCAAATGATTTAAATATCAGCATTCCAAATAGCATCCAAAAGTAAATCAGAGTCCAAGGCAAAGTATTGCTCAAAATTTCTATTTATTAAGAGAGCCATGTTGGCAGATTTGGGAAAACCCGAATCTGAAAGCTTCCCGGTTTTCTCCACCTAGTTGAAAGTTCAAGATCCAGAAGTCCATCACATGGTCCAATCTCCCACTGCCATGCTGGCAGTTCCACCCATCCAATTCCGGTCAGGTGCAGAGGTGCAAAGACAAAGGATGACCTTGGCTTTCTAGGAGAAATTTTGTTATGGCTACATAGTATGTAACTCCTTACAATCCCTATTCCATTTTCCCACAATAGAAAATGCATATTAGAATAATAGAAAGTGTGGCAGGCCAAAGATCCAAAAGAAAAGATATCTGTAGGCCTGACATTAAATACAGCATGCATTCCAAAGATGGTATGTTTTTGTTTGTGAGTCATTTTCTAATTTGGTTCAGTCTTATTAAACATATTGTGTATTAATATATAGTAAGAAATGCACTATTTATTTAATATATATATAGAGAGAACCCATATATATATATATATATATATATATATATATATATATTCACATAATGGCTCTAAAGGCAATGTACAAGTAGATAACTACTTAGGGAGAATTGTTTGTGGATTAACCTTTCTACTGATTTTTAAATACCTCTGCTGAGTTAGATACAACAGATATTTTAGAATGATTTGTAGAATACAAGATAACTGCTCCTAGTCCACAGGGGTATGATTAAACTGGTGCTAATAACTCCTTAGAATTGCTTGGCTGTGGTTAAAACATGCTGAGAAAAAGCAATGTAGGTACTGCAAATAAATTTATATAGCACGTATAATATAAATTATCTGCAACTTCATTTGAACTCTCTAATTTCATCTGGTTTGAGATGCCTGCACTTCATCGTAATATTATAATTTACTGGTGGAGTAATGGTGTGGTAGACGGTGCTGTTGGCTTAAAATGCAGATTTCTAGAACATTCTCTTACTTTGAAATGATGCTCTAGTTTTCAATATTGCAAATTAGATCGTTGCCCACAAGTGGGAGGCTTAGACGTACTGGTGTAAAAACATTAATTACTTTTTCATTTACAAGCACAATTCAATGTCCTGTCCTGAACTTAATCTCTAAAATCTGTGTAAGTTTGGATCCACTTATCAGAAGGACAATGTCTTCCCCAACAAGCCTGCCCGAACATGTCAGATCATTATCAAAGCTTTGTCTCCAAGCTTTTAGTCTTTAAGAGGCAAGACAGGTGCTAAGTGAAGAAATAGTTGTTCCCAATATGCTCTTTCCCCAAAAAGATTTGTCTGACACTATTTTGTTCCTTTTTCACACATTTCCTTGTTATGAGAATTGTTTTTGTTGCTGTGCGCCCCCCCCATTTGATTTATAAGTTTTGGGGAGATTTAGTTTAACCTGAAGAGCAGTATCTTCTTTAAATAAATATCACTATCCTACCACTTTTGCATTCAATAGCTGATCGAGATATGCAGACTATAATAATAAATCAGTGTATTCAAAAGTTGTGAGTGCTCCATCACTGGAGGCTTTTAAAAAGAGATTGGACAGTCATTTTTCTGCAATGGTATAAGGTATGAGTAAGAGGTTGGACTAGAAGACCTACAAGGTCCCTTCCAGCTGTTATTCTGTTCTGTTCTGTACTAGCAGAAATAAACAAAACAAATAAAGTCACAAAATTTATTTATTGTGGTATGGATAAACAAAAGAATATTTTGATTGACTTAATAAAAAGTTGGTGAAGTTTTTTAGAATTTAATAAAAAGTTGGTGTAGATTTTAGAATTGTAAATATGCCTATGCACACTTCTCTGGAAATAAGGTATCTGGATAAAGAAGCTATTGCCGATAACAGATAAAACTATGATATTTATTTCAACTGGTCTTTCATGGTTTAAGTAATTGTACTCCTTTCAAGGATACTTATAGAGGATAATTTTTCAAACATTAAGTTAATCAAATGTAGTATAGCTTTATTGCGATTGTAGATTATATATACAACAAAATTGATTATGTCTAAGGCATCTAGTTTTTCAGCATGTGTCTATGAAAATATCCTACTTTACAGGCATATCCAAAGATTTACGTTATGATGATGTTGGGAATTTCAGTAATCTGTCATATTCTAATTTATTTTTAAATAAGTGATGAGCTCAATGTAGCAGAATGCACAAAACAGCACGGGTTAAAGCTAAAAATGTCAAGCTAAGCATTCAATAACTGACTTCAAGAATTTGGCCTTCTAAATGTATTTGTACCTTCTCCCACTATGCCAAGCTAGAATTTAGGTCACCATACACATTGTGGCATATGTAGTCTTATCACATAATTAAAGCAACATATAAACCTAGTTTATGCAGAGTTCCAGATTATGGAAAGCTATGCTGGCGAGTAAACTCATGTGATGATCATGAGTAAACCTGCTTTGAGCTACAATGAATATTGTGTGAAAATGTGCATAATGTACATGTAAATCACAAAATGTTGATTGTTTTGATAGCTAGTGTGAACATTTTTTTTAAGCAATTGCAATACTTAGACTTGACATCATGCCACACACCACCTATTTCTCTCCGTAGCTACAGTACATTTAAATTTCTTTAATATATCATTAAAATTTATAGCTGACCATCTAATAAAATTTAATCTGCAACAATGTTGCCCTCAAAGCAAAGCCACTTTAAACGGCGAGGAATAAATCTGAATGCTGATGGCCTTTTAGAAAATGAACTGCTGACCCAGAAACTGACAAAAGTCAGAGGAAACGAAGCAGAAGGCTCTCTCTGAGCCTGTATGGGTTTTACAGGCAGGGCAAATTCATTTTACAATAAAAAAATATATATAGTGGTTAACAGGAAATACATTTAATTGGAGAATAGGCTTAAAATGGGCAGATTATTTAATTTTTCTTCTCAAGCATGACACACAGGGACTCAATGCACTGATATGCAGACACAGCTAGCGTAAGTAAATGGTAACATCACTAGGAACATTTTTTGTGATTTAAATAGAGTTTGCATGAGTGGTGCTGCAAAGACTGATGAAAAGAGTGTTAAACTTTTCATAGGAATTAGCTGACTTAAAGCTACAGTGCAAAATAAAATATAAGCCCATAAAAAGGGCATTAAAAGTGCTGCCACTATTTTATACCATCATTGCTTTCTGCTGTCCCTAGATTAATCACACTTTCCTGGTGCCAAGGACTTCAGTACAAACACCTGTTTTCAGTATAAAAACAAAGTAA